ATGACGGATGAATGTAAAACTAATGTTCTCCCATGTAAACTATCACATAATTTACAATAAAACATTTTAAAAAGACCGGGTTTGGGGAGCCTCAAGGCAAGCAATCAAGTCCCTTCAAGATAAATCCCCCTCCAAGACTGAAACTCAAAGGGAACACATGATCAGGCAAGTAAGCTTGCTGGCAACCTCGTTGGTTCACTGGTGAGTGTAAGAGGAGGAAAGGCAGAATGAAGATATAGGCTGAGTCTGACCACATTTCATAGACTCCCTTTGACCTGGAAATGAGAGAGAAAAGAGGACGGGCTGATAGGTCCGAAGTGTAGTGAGACCTGGGAACTCCTGAGCCCATTGACAAGGACATAACCACAGAGGGCTAGAGCTGAGAGTGAAGCATCCAGCTGATATGAACTGAGGAGAGACGCACTAGAATACCCAAACTTGCAGATATGACCCATTTGACCAATGGCTTGATGATCAAAACTTGACTAAAGGAATATTTTTAAATTTTTTTCATAAAAGAAACAAGTGTAAATTGCTACAATTTGAGGAACTTGACCTATACTTATGGATGTAGTAGCTCAAAATACCAACTGAAAAGGAAGGAGTCTTCACATCAAGGATCAATCTTATCCCCTCAATACACAGAGTTGATAGGGATGGGCAACTTAGACACAGGCTACCTAAAATGGAGGGACTACAAAAGCATGAAATGACTGGCTACAAGTTTTCAAAAGGGAGTTTAGTTTCAGAGTGTACAGGGGAAGATAGAATCCCAATTGAATAGTTTTCATCTTGTCTAGATGTGTCTGGCGAAAGGAGATGGGGATAAGTTTCTTTTGATTCAATAGTAAGTAGCTGTTAATCATGACTAATTGGGATTGTCACAACTGTAAAGGCAGAAGTTTTGTAACAAAAGGGATGGAGTAATTCATCTTACATTCTAGGAACAGAGGACCCTAAGACTATCAAGGGAGAAGAGCATGAGTGGAATGTAGGACTCTATCCAGAGAGCAGCAACACCAGAGATGGAGGTAGAGAGGACGACATGGAGAGTTGAGCAGCTGATGATTCCAGACTCATGGAAAGAGAAAGGCAGTGTGATGGTCGCCAGGAGGCAAGCTTGTAGAATGTGCCCTTTGTTGATTTAAATGACTATATTATTTCTGAGTGTTTTTATGTACATCCAAAATAAACAAAAAGCCATAGGGAATAGTAGCAAATACTGTTGAATGATGATGCATGGAGGGGGTTGTAATCATTGATTGCAAGGAAACAATGAGTGTAAAACCAATGTTCTCCCATGATGTAAACTATCACTCAATTAACAATATAAAGCTCCAAAAAAAAGACCAAGATTTCTGGTCATAAAAAGAAACCTGCGACTATGGTCGATCCTCGACCACCTTTCAGGTCTGGAAGGGAACTCACCCTGGTGAGCAAATTGTCAGGCAAGCAGTAAATAGGTATCTAGGGGGGACAACAACACTAGTAAGGTATGCTCTCCATGGAATGGTCAATCATTCAAAATCAAAAGAGCAACATTTACCTAAGTTGAGAAGGGATGGGAGGTAGGCAGAATGAAAATAGAAACCACAAGGAAGAAGTGAGATACCTATTAATGCATGGAAGGTATTGCAATCACTGGGATGAAATAAAGTTTATAATTTGTTGAATGTAAAACTAATGATCTTGTCTATAAATCTTCACTCAATTCACACACAAAAAAAATTAAAACAAAGAAACATAGGTCAAATAAAAATTATTGAACTAAAAAGTAAAATTAAAAACTGAAATTTTAAGCATGAAAACCTTTATGTTGCAAATCAACTAATTATTTTGATAGTAAAAGAGTTTTACTATATGTTGTAGGTTCATTTCCTGGATGTTTTTAACACTGGTATATACATTGTTTAAAATTTATTTTAAAGAACAATTATCAAATCTAAACTACAAAATTTGATTTTTTAAACTTGATCACCCTTCAGCTGTCTACAATTACTATATACGAAAAGCAATTAATTGATTAAAAGGACTGAAACATTACAACAATTTTCAACATTATTACAAAAATGCTACATTTAATTTGGCATGATTTTTGTTGGATTGATATCAACTGTTCAGAATGCTAATGTAGAAACATGACCTTACTTTCTGACCAAAATATGAACCACAAATTAATTCCATACTTTGTTCAAATGCAAGCTGAACAACGGATTCTAATGTTTTCTTCCAAAATATCAACATCTTTCTCTTAGAGAAACATAAATATTTCAAATTTTTCACAAAAATATATAAACTATTGGCAAAAATATATCTTTCAAAGTTTACAGAAGTTTTATACATAGATACCTACTCTGACTGACCTTGTTTAGTAGTTTTCTCATCAAGGAAGTTAATAGAAATGTACCATAATAATTTCAAATTTAAAAGTAAACAATCAAAAGCTACTAGGAAAAAATAATAGTTGATTTTTTACTCTATTTTTAAAGATTATATTATTTTAATCCATTTTTTATTTTTCATATTTATTTAATCTAAACAAAATGAAATCACTAAATATCAATTATAATTTGTTTCACTAGCATTCATAAATGAATGCTGTTAAAATAAAATACAGCTAATATATGAATTCTTATCATTGTAGTAACCTAATCTTATAACTAAAAGAAAAACTTCTGAAACAATCATAGACTTATACTGAAAGTCTATGATTGTTTTAGAAGCTTTGCTCTATATTTTTAAGCTTTTTTCAGCTTAGAAAACAGTACTTAATGATTCTATCTACAAAAGTTTTAAAAGAATGCTTTAAATCAATCCAGGCTACTAGGTAACTGATATCATCAAACAAGCATGTTATTATTCCCATATAAAAAAGTCTTTAGACCTTATTTCCCCAACCAGCTTTCTCTACATTTCTATGTTCTCCTTTATAATAAAACTCCTTGAAAGTATGTTTCTATGCTACTTAATCACCAATACTTCTCTTTCCACTTATTTTTAACCACTTTCACAAATGTTCCATTCCATACTCTGTAAATCACTTGATGCTTATCTACTAGAGCAGAGATTCTGCAACATCACTGGTTACTTACTCTGCTTCTCTGGTTGATTTTTCTTCACATTTCCGCTTTTTATCATCGTAGTGCTCAGGAACTTGGTCTTAGAACTTTTCATTTTTCCTTCTCACACTGATTTTTATTTAGTCTTAATATAAGACTCTTAAATTTACACTCTAAAATCAAACTTCCTAGCTGAACTCCAGAACCTATTAAACAGCTCTACCTGTTTAATGGAGCATCTCAAATTTATCATAAACAAAAGTCTGTATTTTTATCTCAAACCTAGTCCTCTCACGGTCTTCCTCATTTCAGAAATACAGAACCCACCCTTTCCAGTTTCTAAGGAGGCCTCCTTGGATTCTCTTAATTTAACCCATATGTCCCAAAGAAATCTATAAAGTAGTCTTATTTCCGTGACTTACAAAACACATCCAAAATCAAATTACTTTTCACCACCTCCACTTGCTACAGACCAAGTTCAGGCCTCCACCATCTCTCACTGGAAAACTGCTATGCTATCTGCCTGATCTCCTGATTCCAGCTTTCGTCACTCTACATCTGTTTCAACAAAGCAACTATAGTGATCCAGTGTCAAACATGTCAACTGCCCTGCTTAAAATTATCCAATAACTTCTTATGTCACTCAAAATAGAAAACAAAGTCCTTAAAATGAATTACAAGGCTCTGCCACTTATGGACTGTACGGACACTCACCCTTCCACTTCTCTGATCTGATTCTGTACTATTTTCACATACCTCACTTTGCTTCAGTTCCTAGGCCTCCTTACTGGTTCTTGAACTTTTGAACTGTTACATTCGCTACTCCTGGAGTGCTCATTCCCACATTTCTACAAGGCTTCTCTCATTTAAATATCCCCTTCACAGAAAGGCCTCCCCTAATCCTTCCATTTTCAATTCCATAGCCCCACCTTCCAGTGGAAGCACTCACTATTCCATTCCGTCATTATTTCTACTACATAACCCTTATCATCAATACACACTATACATTGCATTTGTTGGTTTATGTAATAGTGTAAGTTTCAGAGGCATGGATTTATATCTAATTTGTTCACTGTGATATACCTACAGCCAAAAACAGTACCTGTCACACAGATAGCATTAATATACATTTGTTGAATGACTCCAGGTACTGTTCAGGAATCTGATTAAGTGTGGCAACTGAACTATAAAAAACAAGAAAATCAATAACCCAAAATGTACTTTGGGTTGTATATGAGCAGAAGAAACAATAAAATATAATCAAATAAAAACACATACGGACTCCAAATGTACAAGTAATTTTCTATTTCTTAAAGTAGGTGATAGGATATAAAGATGTTCAATCTATTTTTCTTTACCCTGTACATATACATTATATATTCAATGTAAAATAAATTTTGCATACACATTATATATGTGCAAAATTTATTTATACTTTTTTACTAATAAACGAAGTGGTCAGATTATATTAAGTACTGCTAAAAACAATAGAAGAGTATTTGGTAAGAAACTGGGACTGTTTGAGGAGAAAATAACAGATAAAGAAGGAGAGAAAATTGCATTTTGCTACAAAAGAGAGTAATGAGATGGAACAGTATCTGGAGAAATACTTGAATTCAAGGGAGATTTTAGATGAGAAAGTCTGTTTTAAAAAGAATATGAAGGCATGTGTATATGACGACTAAATGATCCATTAGTGAAGGGAAAACTGTCATAGCTGACAGAAAAAGACAGTGCAGAAAGCTTTAAGAAGTTAGAAGAGGATCCAAAGTCAAAGATTCCAAATGGAGATTACATAATTCCACAAAGTAAGGATTATTAGACTTTTACATCTGCTGAGAACAAAACAAGAAACTCTAACTGAGCTAGATTCTTCCTAGCAATCAAAATTTAAGCATTAAAGTTGATGGGAATGTGAATAGCAAGAGAAAAAAACCATACCTTGAAAGTTATAGTTGCCTTTGTGCAATAAAATCCTATAGAAACAATAGGATCCTTCAAAGTCTGTGCTTTTTGTTGATGCATGGTGGCTGTCGGATCATTTCCTAGGTAGTCTTCCTCATCATTATCATAACTCACAATTGCAGGCACAAATGACCAGGCCCATGATACCCATCCCTGTGACTGCTCATCATCTTGCTGTGAATGTAACTCTTGGGTTTTGTACTGAGCGGGATACTGCATGTCTATTCTTACTTCATCCTCAGCACCTAGCAATCAAAATAAAGCCATATTAAGTAAATTAAACTGGAGAATTTAACTGAGAGAAAAAACATTTGTTGTTCTGGTTGTTAAGTACCAGCGATTATTGTTGTTTTTATTAAATTAATGAAATAATAAATACTTTCCAGCAGATTCAAGTGTATCTATTCTCTGTTGATATATGAAAATGTTGTTGTTAGAATCCTGGTGTAGCGCTGCAGATTACTGTGTATGTTAAATTCTATAAAAATGTTCTTCACCTATCCTTTTTGCTATATATACAGTACATCCTTCACTATTATTTGAAATAAAAATTAGCATCACTTTCAAGTTTCTATATGCTGTACTGTGTTGATCATATTTCAGAGATTTATCAAGTGATAAATACAGAGAGTAAATGCATTCTGTAATATCTCACTCATTAAAAAAAAATACCTATCTCCCCATATTAAACCTAATGTGGTCAATAACTGACTTTTCTCAAAAATACAATTCTGGAATGAAACAAGAAAAGTTCTGTTTCCTGATGCACTCGGCTGAAAAAGAGAATGGCAAGCGCTCCTAGGCAAACACATTCCCCAAAACAAGAATGATCACTATAGAATTTTTTAAAAATTAAAGAAATGTTATAATAAAGTGACCTGGATACATAGCTACAAAAATAACAGCATTAGTTAGCAAGATAAATGTATCTTTTCTGTTCTTCAAATGAGAAAATTATAGTAAAGAAATGTTATTGGTTATAAACCTGTTTATACCTGGTTATTAGCAGACTAAGAGTTTAGATGTCAACCATTCTTTTAACTTATTCCATCATACAACACTACTTTTGTAAAATCAAATTTGATCACTCTCTTTACATAATTCTAACAATACAAATTAAAGAGATGCATAATCATGGAATTCAAGGAGGAAAAAAACTTTATTTTTATTAAATTTATGAAATAATAAATGCTTTCCAACAGATTCAAGTGATCTATTCTCTGCTGACATCTGAAAATAAACATTCCATTAAATATTACCCTGATTCAGGTGCATCCAGGGTTCTCGCTAAAAAAAACTTCATTAACTTTTTGCCAAGAAACCCTTAAAAAATCCTACACTTGTGACAAGTCTATCGACCATATGTCAATTCTTCATTCATCTGGAAACAGAAAAGCTTAATAAACAATAATTATAATCACAGCATTAAAAAACAATAAACCTTCAAAATTAGTTACATACTAAACAAAATTCTTTTGCATAATTATTTATACATGGTTTATATATGGTTTAACCCTAAAATTATGGAAATTAAATAAATTTAGTTTTATAGCTAAGCCATATATAAATCATGTATAAATAGATAAGGTCTATATATCTATTGTTGTTGCATAGTGCCATCGAGTCGGTTCCTACTCAGAGCAACCCTGTATAGGGTTTCCGAGGAGTGGCTGGTGAGCTTGAACCGCCAACCTTATGGTTCAAGCCGACTTTGCAGTCCAGCGCATAAATCCACAGTACCGACTTTCACAGTAACAATTATATATATATATATATATATATATACACACACATATTTGTTGTTGTTGAGTACTGTGGAGTCAGTTCCAATCCATAGCGACCCCACACAGGGTTTCCAAGGCTGTAAATCTTTACAGGCGCCAGAAGCTTCATCTTTCTCCCACCGAGCGGCTGGTAGGACCTTGAGGTCCTAGATATAGCTATAGCTATAGCTATAGCTATAGCTACAGCTAGATAGATAGATAGATAGATAGACAGACAGACAGACAGACAGACAGATAGGAGTTCTGGTAGCATACTGGTTACGAGTCGGGCTGCCAACCGCAAGATCAGCAGTTTGAAACTACCAGTCACACCTCTGGAGAAAGATAAGGCGTTCTGCTCTTGAAAAGATTTACAGTCTCGGAAATCCTGTGCGGGGTCACTATGGGTCGGAACTGACTCGACGGCACTTAACAACAACAACAACCTCTTCTTATCAGACATACTACTATTCTACTATACACATCATACTTAACAATTCATGTATCTGTCCACTGTACTGTACCATAAGATTTTTTTTTATGTTTTATTGTGAATTATGTGATAGTTTATATGAGAGAACATTAGTTTTACATTCATCCTATCATAGTTCATTTCATTGCCATGGTTACAATCCCCTCCAGGCATCATCAACCAACCAAAGGGTATACCCTGCAAGCCTTCTACACACACCCCCACCCCCACCCGGTCATCAGCATCCAGCCCCTCTCCCTCTCTGGGTCTAAAGTCCCCAGCTTCTCCATCTCTCCATCATCTCTTCCTCCATCTCTGGCGTCACTGCTTCTCTGGGTAGGGTCCCTGTACCATAAGATTTTAAAAGGGAACATATATTTTTTATCTCTGTAATTTACACACTACCAAGCATTATATTTTAATAAAATTATAATTAACTGAATAATGGCATTAACCCACTAGATAAAAATAAAGCATAAATATCAATCAAGTTAACAGAACTAAAATAACTCATTTATGATTAACTAGTTATATATCTACTAGTGAAAAAATATTATTACTTCCATTAGTAGTCACTAATAAGTGAAAGGAAACTTAATTTTTATAAAGTGTACTTTTTGAACACACACTTCATATTATTAGAAATATTAAAGCTATTTTTAGCATATTGGGAAATAATTAGAATAGTATACAGCATGGAAAAAAGTAGTATCAAACAACAAAAATACAATCACATCATCACATTAGTGCACTGCCAAACTCAATCTAATTTTACAAAGTTTCCACTGGAAAAACACCTTGTGAGAACAATAAAAAGTAAAATAAATTTTTTGCTATATTTACCTGTAATGTTTCCTAACATATCTTTATTATGACAGGAAGGTTCTTCTGTTTCTCCACCTTTACAATTACCTATTTCTCCATAATAAAGAGCAATCCCTAGTTGCATTATACGGATAAACATCGGCAGTTGTTGATCTGTGATAGAAAGTTTCAAACTCTCAACTAAGGTATGAATCTGTATTTTGAAAAGATAAAACAAAAGAGAAAGTTTAAAAGGAATACCATTTAACATAAGCAGAAATTTTTTAAATTATAAAATGATATAAAATAAATAAAAATGTCTCAAATAGTTCTACTACTTCAGCAAAAATAGTCTAAAATATTAAAAATTAAATTTTGCTATGATAATAAACAAATTTTATACAGAAACTATATTAACCCACATGATGAGGATACAAATAAAATTGATAATGAGAAGAAATATTTACACTAGATTTTCAGATGAACTAGTCCAGAAGAAAAATAAGTTATAAAAACAAAATACCTGTTTTATAAAGTTATGAGTATATCGAAAGCTAGATAGATTTGTCAAAATTAAAAAGTGTTTCATAACATAATTTTAGTAAAATTTTAATTGTTCTTCTCAGCTTTATTAACCAAAAAGAATACATTGCTGTTGTTGTATAAGTGTTATGCTGTCTAGTCAATTATAACTCATAGCAACCCTGCATAGGGCTTTCAAGGAGTGTCTGGTGGATTTGAACCACTGACCTTACAGTTAGCCATCCAGTGCTATGTACATATCCTAAAAACATATATTAAGTAAAAATACAGTATTATGGCTATGGAAGAGAGAAAATAATAACATTTATTGTAAAATATAGAAAAATCAACTGAAATATATATCCAAGAAAGTTTTTCAGATAAATCAGAGATATGACAAATTTATTATATCAATTAATTATATGAAAGAAGTAAAATTAATAACAAATAAATAGAATATATAGCAGTCAATCAAAGTTCTCCTAAGGAAAAAGAGACAGCTATGGAATATAAACACAGGAGCTCTGTGGTAGGGCAGTGGTTACGAGTCGGGCTGCCAAC